CTTTTTTATATATTGTTGTTTCTAAAAGAAAGGATATGATGGCTTTGTAAAAGGTCTGAGTTAGAAAATATGTTTCTTAAGCGAACATGGGGATAAAGGAAGAGGGCCCTAGCCCTTGCATAAGTATAGCATTGGCTCTCGCAACCTCTTCTACAGCAATTGCTTCATGGCATCATGAAGTGGGCTGGATTAAAAGGCGTGGGCTTCATTCGGAGCATGAATGTTTGCCTAGACTTCTCCCAACATTCTTAACCTAATGTTTGCTTAAGAAAACCATGTTTTCTGCATGATCACATCATTATTGCTGATCCTTTCTTGAAACAACTTATTCCGTTCTCAAATCAACTTTGCTGAGGTGTTATTTTCTAGTGCAACTTTGCTGCAGTAGATTCCACCTTTTACCATCGATGAAACTTTGCAATGATTCATCCAATTGGTTTCATATATGGTTTATTGAATTATGCTTATCCTTGCTGATCAATACTATTGCCTGCAGTAGATTCCTCTTCTTTTTTCCATTAAAATCCACCCATTAATTTTACCTTTTCGCTTTTAATGCTAATATATATTTGTTAGCATCCCTGTTGTGTCCAAAGAGAATCTTCCCCAAGCGCCTGCAACTTGTTGCTCACTATTTTTCACATGTTTAAAGTAGAATGTATGGCTGCATGTAGTGATAACTTAGTTTACATGGCATTGAATCTTCTGTGGTCATGCACACATGGAGCAATGAAAACATTTGACTTGGGACAAAGCTAATACTAGCCCTGTGCATGGGTTGGGTTAACAACTTAACATTGGTTTGGGTCAATTTTGGATCCACCCATTTATGGACTAGTTTAAATGGATTGGGTTGGGTTGGGTGGGTTACTCGGTTCCATGGGTATTCAAATGCAAGTAGATACCCACGTGTCAGGAGCCGCTGCCAGCACCTTGGGCGGGATGTCATCAATATAGAGGATACGCGCAAGGTCCTTGGGACCAGGAACCCGGTGTAGGAGCTCGCCGGGCATGGCGCTTGACGTCGCACCCAGTGGGGCGCGCACACGGCACGTAGAGGGAGGCCCGGTGGATGGCGCAGCGCGCTGCAATGGTCGTGGCCTAGCAGCCCTCGCAGAGCGGGGCGTGTGCAGTGGCAATGTGCATGGGGACGTTGCAGGCAGGCACAAGCATGGGAACGGGGACGTTGCAAGGCGTGCACGGGGACGTGCCTGTGCCTGCCCTGCGACATCCCCTTGCACGCCGCCACCACGTGCGCCCACGAGCATGCCTTGCTCTATGAGCGCGGTCACATGTTGTGCCGTCCACCGGGCCTCTCGCCGCGCATTGTGCGCTCGCCCCGCTGGGTGCGACGCCAAGTGCCACGCCTGGCGCTCGGCTCGCTCCTACACCGAGTTCCCGGTCCCCGCCGACCTCGCGCTTATCCTCTATATGACGACCTCCCGCCTGAGGTGCCTGCGGCGGCAGGGCTTCGGGAACCTCCTGACACATGGGTGCCCGACCTAGTCAACGTCGAACTGTAGTTAGCCAATTTGCCCGGGTGCCCGACCTAGTCAACGTCGAACTGCGCAGCAGCATCAGATCGCACTATGATGAAAATGAGGTATCTACATACTGCTTGCATTTGTCTACCCATGGCACTGAGTAACCCAACCCAATCCATTTAAACTAAGTCCATAGATGGGTGGATAAATTGATCCAAACCCATGTTAAACCACCCATGCACAGGGCTAGTGTTGGGTGCAGACTGTCGTCTGCCGCGCCCGCGGCAGCTGCAGGTTGTGAGACCCAGCTCATGGGCCGAATTACTGTTGGGTCGGGCTACTGTAGCTATAACGTTGAATTGGGATGGGCTGAATTCGGGGTTACTGCAGCGACAATTTACTGTAGCTGTGGAAACCACTGTCAACCGGGAAGTTTAGTACCTGTGGATTCTGAGTTCGCCGAACCAGCTTAAATAGCTAGGCCAAGGACGTGTAGTAACTTTCGGTTAACTGTTTTGCGCGAAGCGAGGATAAAAGCGCAAGCGGGTTGCTACGTAGGTGGGATCCACCCCTCGGTAGAGTGGGCCTAGGCCGTGTGCCAGGCCTAGGGTGTTACAAATGGTATTCAGAGCCAATTCTCGCGGTTTCATGGACGTATGGCTCGGGAGCTCGGACAGGCTGCGCATGGCCATGCAAGAGCATGGCTCGGGAGCTCGGATAGGCTGCGCATAGCCATGCAAGAGCATGGCACTCTGGCCGGGGAGCTGGGAATATGGACGTGGGCCAAGAGAGTCGATCCTGAGCATGTCCCGTATGGCTAAGCTGGTTCAATAGCTCGACGAGGACGTCGAACCCATTGAGGGTGGGTGGATGTGAGACCCAACTTATGGGCCGAATTACGATTGGGTGGGGCTACTGTAGCTACAACGTTGAATTGGGATTGGCTGAATTCGGGGTTACTGTAGCACCGAGTTGCTGTAGGTGCGGAAAACACGGTGCAACCAAAAGTTTAGTACCATATCGTGAATTCTGAGTTCGCCGAACCAACTTAAATAGCTAGGCCAAGGACGCGTAGTAACCTTCGGTTAACCGTTTTGCGCGAAGCGAGGACGAAAGCGTAAGCGGATTGCTACGTAGGTGGGGCCCACCCCTCGGCTGAGTGGGCGTGCGCCGGGCCTGGGGTGTTACACGGTGTAGGTGGCCTGTCGTCCCAGCCGCCCCCGTACATGGTGTGCCGCCGGCCGGCCACTCCGACCTAACCAATGTGCGTGACCTAGTACAGGCACACTCCGCACCATGGGACGCCCTACTGTTTGGCCTGGGTATCGTTGTGTTTTCAACCGTATATTGGGTGGGTTACTCGGTTCCATCATGGTGATGTTGGGCCTCTCCTCGCTCTTGCACCTGCCTCACCACGTCGTTGACATGGGAGCGACTCTGTCCGTCGAGCAAATCCATGGGTCAAATGGGTACTTACCCATATCCACCCAATCCATATGTTGATTTGTATCATGGTTTGGGTGGGCTTTAGATGAGTGGATTGGGTGGATAACACGATCCGTGCACAGGCCTAGCTAATACTGACATGTAAAAAAGAACGGCAGTAGTATTGTAATGAAATTGCACACATGTAAGCTATTTTTCACATTTGACTCAGGACAAAGCTAATACAACATGTAAAAAAGAATCGTCTGTGATCATGCACACATGGAGCAATGAAATTGCGCAAGGACATAGCGGAACGTGCTGCACAGCTTGACATTGTGGTCACAAACAAGCTTGCTAAGCTTCGCAGCCAGGAAGGCTAGCAGAGTATATGCAGATTGCAAGTTTGGTTAATTTGTCTGTAGGAAGCTGCCCTGCTGGAAGATTTCCTTTTGTATTACCTATGTTATTCTGTTATATGGATTGATATGAGCTCAGCACAGAACAGCTACAATTCTGAATGATGCTCTGTGGTGACGCCTTATTTTGAACCTGAACCGGTCCTGTTATATTATTGAGATCGGTATGAGAAACCTGACCTGCTATAAGACCAAAAGAAGTAAAAAAACTGAGCTGCTATAGGGGCATCACATGCAGGCAGCGAGGCGATGCTATATGGCTTGTTTTAATTAATACAAACTATAGCTTGTTAATAAACTATTTGGCGTTCTTTTGAAACTGCATGTGTTCTTGTGTTCGTTTCTAGCTATATGGATTGGCGATAAGTTATTGGCACAAGTTTGTGGTTATCGTAAGCTACCAACATATATTCATGACAAGTAGTGCCTTATTGTTTTCCGAAAAAAAAAACAACGCCTTATTGATTATTTCGTTTTTAAAAAAACGACAATGTGTTCCTTTGCTTTTAAATATTTATTCTGAAATGTTTTAATTAACTAGTTTGTGTTAGGATAAGATTATTTTTCCTGATGTTAATGCCTTATGTGCTATTTTTCTTTTGTAATTTATGATCATATACTATCAATAGCTCTTCATGCGTAATTCTTCCGGCTTTTGGTTCAAAGGGCTCCAATTGCCTGGATGAACAGCTGCCTGGGACAAGTTCCATCTTATCTCTTTTTTCTTAATTAACTACATGGTTATGCGGACTTGACAAGACAGCTTGCTAAAATTAATTATTTACTATAATTTATCATGCTTTTACTCTAATTAAATATAGCAAAAAAATGATTTTAAATAATCTTCTGAACTTAGAAAAAGGACTAATACAAACAATTTATCTCAATATGCAAACTATAATAATGTACACTGGTCTTATTTAGATAATCCAAAATCAATTTACTTTAGTTAGCGTTCTCAGGCACATGCATCCATCCAAAAATAATTTTAAACTTGCCTTGCCAGACCAGGCAAAAATCAACTTTATAGGCAACTCGCCCTTCGTGCCTAAATATGTAGCGATAGATGCGTTTAGAAGTCCTGGTGAGCAAGGGTCCGTCAACCACCACTAGCTGCCTTCAGGGCACAATTGCGTCAAAGGCCTCAAGCACAGTGACAACCTGTGTTTTTCCCTTATAAACAGATTTAATGAGCTCTCGATGTCAACGATGCAGGCGTTCAGCTCCTATCTTCCCCTATTATGAAGCAATGCTAACATTGTTACTTTACATCTCGTTCGTTTAATCATCCCCATGGGGCAATGCTAACATTGTTTCTTTACATCGAGATCAATGCCAAACAATACACCTTTTCAATGCGATGACAGATCATGCAAATAGAGTGGTCGAGGTAGTGATGTGACCAACATACTTACAAATCTCCCAGAAGCTATCAGGCCATCACAATATCCTTACCGTCCCAATGTCATAACTCATTAGAGTTTGTAGTACTTTGGTCACCGTCTCATGTCAGGTGATCCGTTGATCCATTATACAAGCTGGAAAGTTATGTTTACAGACAAGCTGTGCAGCCTCGATAGATCAACACCAAATAGTTACTATCTACTCATAATACCTTAAAAGCAACAGATTAAATTGTGGCATTCTGAGCTTTGATTTCTGGGGTCGTCATCTAAGTCAAGGTTTTCCCCAGATTCCTCCCAAATGGAGACTCCGGCAGTCTGCTGCCAATAAGGTCCCGCAACTCGAACTCGCTAGGGAACCTCTGCTCAACAAGTTTTGAGAATACCTGAAAAGTGGAAGTGATTTCAGTAAAATAATGAAGGGATGCAGAGGTTTTAAAATCCTGCTGTCATCTAGGAGGGCAAAAGGATGCCATGGAAGAAAAGGTGAAACAAAAACGTTGTAACTTCACAATAAAATTTGCGACATAACACATAAGTAATCCTAGAGATAGAACTAACTCATCCTTTTTCAAAACAGAGGGCACTCCTGATATATAAAGCATTTTGCATCAAATCAACACAAAGGAAAAACATAAGGTTCCATCTAACATAGGAAGCATACCAAATCTCCATTGCAGTAAACTTCAAAGGCACCAGAGCTTTGTAGAAAGGACTGAGCAAAATTGCCAAATAGCCAGATTGTTGCCATGGTTCCGAATCTATTGGCGCGAAGTGAGTAGTACCATGGAGGAGGAACCATTCCAAGCCTTGGGAAAATCTGGTCACCAGCCAGTATTGTTGCAATGGCTCCAACTTGAACAATTGGGATAACTTTGCTGAGTACACGCTTGGGGAATGGAGGAGGATAATTCTGCAAGATAACATGAATGCCAGGAAATGAGGTTTCCAGCATGCGCTTCATGGTCACTGCAGTTCCCCTACAATGTAAAAAAAAAAAATCAGAATAACATGTATACCCTCCGTCCCAAAATAAACAACTTTCTCAAAATTTTCTGACAGATTAATGACGCTGCCAAAAGACTATGCAGCCTCATCTCCTTTCCTTTCCCGGAGGATACCTCCTAGATTTGGTAGTTATCATTTACATGTACCCATGATTAGCTTCCGCATTAGGCGGCAGTGTCCCATGTTTTTATAGAATGTTATTTTTTGGGAAAAAATTTAAACCTCAGAAAGTTATTTATTTTGGGACGGAGGAAGTATGTAGATGTAAAGCATAGGGTTTGAACTTCTATGCATGAAAGATGTACTTTCCTTTAGCATGATTCCTTCACCACTTATTAAGTTTCACTCCTAAAAGAGTTTTTTCCTGGTTCGTGACACTAGGCTAGATAATGAAGCGAGCAACAACACATGGTCTGAGTAAAGCAGCATAATGATGCGGCGGAGCAGTGCTAGCTCAGTTGTGGAAAAATCTAGAGGCACCAGTAGCTGTGCTGTGCATTAGATTAGGTAGACACCTTCCTTCCAATGAGAACAAAAAATAGCACTTTTGTGATAGTACAGTTGAAAATTGAACACATGCATCCAGGAAACCACTATTTCACCTCCGCTTATACCACCCTAAAACATTACTCTTTTCTGTAGGGCCACCCCACAAATTTTCAATGTCAGCCATTTCTTCACCCAATCTTCTGGCCCATAAATCTCAAGCCAACTACTTAAGTGCTAGCTAAGATCGCATGTTTATAAAATTCATTTTCAATCCAGTTTAATATCCTGAAATGCTTCACTAGGGTGGCACTGTCTTTTTATACCAGTCCAGGTCCTTGACAAGATAGGAGACATCATAATAGTTCCCTTGCATTACAATTGATATTTGTGGATGAAAATGCAAGACATATACGCATCAAGTTAGCTTTTAGAGGGAGTTTCATTTTAGAATGTATCACTGCTTTTGTGGTTACAAAACTTATAAGGCACTGAAATTGCAGAGTGGTGTTTGTCTAATTATCAACTATCCTGCCCTCAGCTCTAATTACCATAAAAGCATGACATACGTCAAAAATCTGGTTTGTAAAATTATCAAGCCTGGCAGAATTACTGCGGTCAAGTCAAATTGATCTCCAATTCACCATACCTTTAAAATTCTGTATTGGCTTGGGAATAACAATAAACAATAAAGCAAATCATATAAGATAAGTAGGACTGTTGAAGAATTTTCAAATGATAGCACATGCTGTTGCAGTAACATGAGGACAAGATTTACATAAAAGATGCATTTCTCTAAATTTAAAGATAAGAACAAGATAACAAATTAAGAACCAGGTTAACTCAAGCTATTAAGCCTACAATCCAGTACACAAAATATCATCTATTCATCTCATACAAAATGAATCATTCACGTCCACTCACTGTCATCAAACAGCTGACCTCCAGTACTTAGGATACTAGGGATGCAAGTTTGCTGACTTCAGAAAGCAACGACTAGAAAGGGTGTCATCACTGATAGTTTAAACTCAATGTAAATCCAAATCCAAAAATAGAAAAGAGTAAGAGGCTATTTGGAAGGTTGGTTTTGGAGCTAAAACTCTTGTAAATACATGCCCATAAAATTTTACATCCAAACTTGTAAAAAGGTGTGTGCATGGAATGAAATCCAAAAGAAATTACCACCGGTTTAGACAAAAAACACAAATTTCTCCATGTTGCCACAACGCTCTAGATGCCAAGGCTATCGCAGCCAAGTAGCCAACACAAGGACGCACTGTGAGAACAGGAAGGACGTGAGAAAGTTCGGCAACTATGGAGATGAAGATGTTGGACCAGGCGACCTCAGCAGCCAGCGCGATGGACGGGGATGCTGCCACAGCTTGTGTCTGCAGACCATGGCACCATCGCATGCAACACAACAAGAGAGCAGAGCAGCCACCATCTATGTGTGGTCCTTGTTCATGGTGAGCTGCAACCTGCAAGCGACTCAGGCCCTCTGCCAAAACCACCGCTCAGTTTCATGCTCCCATGCTCTTTTCTAATATGTTTGCTCTTCGCTTATGTCTGAATTTTCTTCCGTTATATCCAATCTTATGTTCTGATGTGAAAACTTCAGCTCCAATATGAATGTTTTGACTCTGAGCTCCAGTACCATATTGATAGGGGACCTTGCTAGCTCCTGGGAATTCCATATGTACCCAAAATGACATCAATTTCACATAATTGTTCCTGACACTATTTTGGTCATCATCGTTTGCTTTTACTGTCTGTTTAATTCACTAGCTGCTATAAGGCCGGGACGCAGGTTAGTTTCTACCTCTCGGCAATCCAAACAGCAAATAATAGACAGAAATGGATACATGTAGTGCACAAGGAATTACAGGTATAACAAATTTCAGCTGTAAAAAGATTGCTAAGTTGCCAAACAGGCCCTAAATATTTTTCATTCACTTGAATCCTCTTCTTTCGATCTTTCTTGTTCTTTTTAAGGTCTTCATCAGACAATTAACACAGCCATGAAGAACAAGTGACTGACACCTATCCCTTCCCCAGTTCCCCGCTATAATTTTAACGTACTACATGTAAGAAGCTGAATTGGTGTTAAGTTACCAACTGTTGTGTGTGATAAAATACCACAACAGCAAGTTAGTCTATCCATGAACACACAACAGTCATAAATTCATCATTCACTGGTGGTAGCAGTGAATAGGTGTGACAACTGCCAAATAACCAACCATATGCAATTCAAATCATGCCCGGGGTGGAGGCAAAACTGGGCACCCTCCCCCCACCCCTCCCTGTGCCAAAACAAATAATTGAAGCACCAAGTAGACTCATGGCCTGAAGCCCACTGGAAGCTATAGACAACAATGAAACCAAGTGGAACAGCCCACTGTAAGCCTGCAACTAAGTATGGTTATTTGCAGAAAGCACGCGACATTCCAATGCTCATACATCAAACGTTAATGGCGAGGTTCAAAAGAGGTCCACACACAACAAATAACCAAAGGAATTAAGCAAACAACCACCAGTACGCGCTATAATTTTAACGTACTACATGTAAGAAGCTGACTTGGTGTTAAGTTACCAACTGTTGTGTGTGATAAAATACCACAACAGCAAGTTAGTCTATCCATGAACACACAACAGTCATAAATTCATCATTCACTGGTGGTAGCAGTGAATAGGTGTGACAACTGCCAAATAACCAACCATATGCAATTCAAATCATGCCCGGGGTGGAGGCAAAACTGGGCACCCTCCCCCCACCCCTCCCCGTGCCAAAACAAATAATTGAAGCACCAAGTAGACTCATGGCCTGAAGCCCACTGGAAGCTATAGACAACAATGAAACCAAGTGGAACAGCCCACTGTAAGCCTGCAACTAAGTATGGTTATTTGCAGAAAGCAGGCGACATTCCAATGCTCATACATCAAACGTTAATGGCGAGGTTCAAAAGAGGTCCACACACAACAAATAACCAAAGGAATTAAGCAAACAACCACCAGTACGCGCTATAATTTTAACGTACTACATGTAAGAAGCTGACTTGGTGTTAAGTTACCAACTGTTGTGTGTGATAAAATACCACAACAGCAAGTTAGTCTATCCATGAACACACTACAGTCATAAATTCATCATTCACTGGTGGTAGCAGTGAATAGGTGTGACAACTGCCAAATAACCAACCATATGCAATTCAAATCATGCCCGGGGTGGAGGCAAAACTGGGCACCCTCCCCCCACCCCTCCCCGTGCCAAAACAAATAATTGAAGCACCAAGTAGACTCATGGCCTGAAGCCCACTGGAAGCTATAGACAACAATGAAACCAAGTGGAACAGCCCACTGTAAGCCTGCAACTAAGTATGGTTATTTGCAGAAAGCACGCGACATTCCAATGCTCATACATCAAACGTTAATGGCGAGGTTCAAAAGAGGTCCACACACAACAAATAACCAAAGGAATTAAGCAAACAACCACCAGTACGCGCAACCCCAAGACACACTGGACGAGCGAGCTCACTTGTACGAGCAGGAGGCACAGAATTGCAGCTCCACTGTGCTGCCGAATCCAGCCCCATCCACACGTGGCTCCTGCAATTGCATCGAAACAACACATCAGTTCCAGTTCGCCAACCAGATCGGAGACCCGGTCGCGACTCGAATTCCGGGCAGCTAGGGTTCATGAACTACCTGTATGATTGCCGCAGAAGGGTCGGGGTGCTGGTGGTGGTGCGGCGGGTGCGGGTGCGGGTGGTGGTGAGGCGGGTGGGGATGGTGCGGCGGATGCGGGTGGTGGTGGTGAGGAGGGTGGTGATGGGGTGGCGGAGGTGGGGAGGCGGCGGCGCAAAGATGTGAGTGAGGTCGGAGAAGAAGAGGAAGGCCGGGAGTCCGACAAGGAGCAGCTGCGCGCGATCCATGGCGCGTCGCGGCGGAGGACGGCTTGGCTCTGCTACTGCCTGGGCCGCTGGGCGTCTTGGGTCTCCGTCTCTCTCGAGACGCGGGCTGAAGGAGGCAGTCTCGCAGTCGCAGGGAGGAAACCTCCTCTCCAACCTGCTATGTGGGTCCCATTCATCAGTGGGAGTACCAGACGCCCGGCATCTTTGGTGCCTTGGTGGAGGGTGGGGCGTCCGGCGTCAGGGTCGGAATTTGGACGGCGAGTTGGCGACAGCGATTCGATGCGTCGTGTCGATGGCTCGATCGGGTTGTGCTTGTGCCGCACGGGCAAGGCCGTGCGTTTGGCAAGAGTGGATGGGCCGTTCGGTTTAACGGCACATAAAAGCCCAAGTCCAGTTCTTTTCCAAGGAACATGCAGAGATGGGCTAGCCGTGCAACTTCGTCCGTCTCTACTTGATGAGTGACGACCATATTGTCAGTTGCCACGGACCCTTTCGCTATGATGAGCTGTGGGCCCGTGGCCCACCAACCCTGCAACTTCGTCTACTGTTCCCTCCGGCCTCCCTGGTGATGGCGATCGAGTAGACGGAGTAGTGAAGTACAATGGTCGCTTTGAGCATGCTGAGCTTTCTGGAAGTCTAAAATGTTTGGTCAAGTTGATCTGAGTCTGGTAAGCTAATTTTGGAATTCTTGGACGGAAGAGGCTTACCTTTGGAGTCTGGAGTCTGGACTGACCAACTCTGCTCGGCAAGCGTCCATTCCTACTCCAAAACCGCAAGTGTGTGTGTGTGGCCTAACGCTCTGCCAGATCACACGAGACCTTCAACAACCGATAGGCGATAGTCAGATACATCCCGCGATTGTTGTTATGTTTGGCACAAAGCTAGCGTCCTTTTGAGCTCCCTCCAATAGGCACGTACGAGCGTCACCGGTACAGTAGAAAGCTTCAGACCATCAGTCCACACACTCCCACACACAAATACACGGTGCTGCACACACAAATACAATGTCCTCGCAAAGATTCGGTCTCGTCTCCACGGTGTACATCTGCAGCGCTGCACTGTAAACTCCACTCGATTCCGTCTGGGCATATTGGCTTGCTGGATACATCATGTACCGCGTACATATTTGGTTGCCTGTTCTTCGCTCTTAGCCAGGCTTAGATAATGCAACTAGAGCCCCTTAGCCAGGCTTGGTGGAAACGCCGGAGTTGGTCGTTCCCCCGAAGCCGGGCTCCGTCTTAGCCATCGCTCGTATCACGTCACCACCCCACCGCGTTGCGGTAGCGTCACCTCCAGACCTCGTCGGCGATGGATGCGACTGTGCCTGCCTGCCAGTCCTACCGAGGAGCCCGGACACTGTCCCGACGGAGCGCCGCCGCCTCGTCATGCCTTGGCGGAGCGCCGCCGCCGCCCGAGGCTCCACCCTGCACCTCGTCGTGCTCCCCCGCACCTCGTCGTGCTCCCCCGCCGTCTCTTCCCCCGACACCTCTGAAAGCATCTAGGCCCCTAGTTGGGTTTTAGTGATTAATGACGACACGAGATTACTATGACTAACGTGTGTTTTGCAGAGGCAATTTGAGTTAGGTCATGGTAATGGCAATTGATTGGGCAATCATGGGTGTCATGCCCCTGTCGATGGAAATCGTTTCGGTTTTCAAAGGATGGACGACAAGGTTAAGGACGAACTGTTTCTAAGTGTCGTTTGGTGTTGGAGAGACACTTAGACTAGTTTAGGATCTTGTTTTTCCTTTGGCCGTACTATTAAGGGGGGTATGGACTAGTAACTTGACCTAGGTAAGTCCGGTGGGTTAGGTGTGGTGCACACTTGTCAAACCTAGCAATAGGTAGCTCAGGAATACCCCTAAGATCAATTGGAGTAAACTTCATTAACATAGGATTTCGAGTTGAAAGTGAATAGAGGGTCAAATGATTGACCGGACGCCGGTCTGGTTGTGACCGGACGCTGTAGGGTGAGTCCGGTCAGTTCATTTGATCAACTAGAGTCGTCTGATACTGACCGGACGCTGAGTGAAAGTGGAACGGACGCTGGGTACCTACGTCCGGTCAACTATAGAGAGGTTCCAAAGAGACTGTTTTCTGGCCGGACGCATCCGGTTGGTGCTGACCGGACGCTGGTCAGGATCCGGTAACTGACCGGATGTTGAACAGTGAAGTGACCGAACTCTGGGCGTCAGTGTCCGGTCAACATCAGTAAGGTTTCAGAGAGCGTTTTTCTTGACCAGACGCAGGTCAGAGTCCGGTCAAAGCTTAATGGCTCTTTCTGATACAGTGGCGGGTATAACTGACCAGAGCGTCCGGTCACACTGACCGGAGCGTCCGGTCACACCGCAGAACGCTGACTCAGCCTCCAAATGTTATGTTTTGAATGAGGGGTATAAATACTTACTTCACTCGTCCAAGAGAGGCCTCTTGCCCATTTGTTCAACTGAGAAACACCTTGAGAGTGCAAGGGAGAGCAAGAACTTAGTGAGGTGATTGAGATTTGAGAATCCAAGATTAAGGTCCTCATTAGTGCAAGGGGAGTAGCAAGTGTGCATCCACTCTTCTCATTAGGCTTGTCGTGGTCAAGTGAGAGTTTGTGCTTATTACTCTTGATGATCTCCATCACCTAGATGGCTCGGTGGTGATTGAGAGCTTGGTGATCATCCGACGGAGCTTGTGGATGACCCAACTCAAGTTGTGAGCGGTTGTGAGCGATTCACCGCGACAGAGTGTCAAAGAATCATCCCGTAGAGAGCACTTGATCCTTGCGCGGATCAAGGGGGAGCTACACCCTTACGCGGGTGCTCCAACGAGTACTAGTGGGGAGTGGCGACTATCTGATACCTCAGGAAAACATCGCCGCGTTCCTTTTTCTCTCTGTACTTTGAGCATTTATATTTGAGCAATTCATTTTATGTCTTTACATTCCTAGAATTGTCATGTTAGAGTAGGATTGGAACCTAGGATGCAAAACTTTTGTGCGTTAGAATAATAGAAACACTTTCTAGGCACAATGGGTGGAGTGGGCTAACAGTGTAGGGCTTAATTATTGCAAAGAATTTAGAATTAGCTCAATTCACCCCTTCCCTCTTGGGCATCTTGATCCTTTCAACCTCTAGATCCTCTGGACTCCCATTGCCATGGCGAGGGGGCAGAGGAGCACCGCGTCTGATGTGCATCGCGTCTGAGGAGGAGCACCGCGTCCGAAGAGGAGCTCTCGCGTGAATCCATGCGGCGCCCGCGCACCCCCCGCGGCGGTGCACGCGAGGCCCCTCGGTGGCTGTGGCAGAACCGCCCAAAATAACACACTTCTGGAGGTGCTTGTCTCTCTCTAGACACTAAGCACCCCGAAAGTGGGTACCTCTAGCAGTTCTGTCGAGCACACCCCAAGAGAGAACTCGAATCATCCATGTTTTTACATTCAGGATCCAATAATGAGAACGAGTTTATAATACTTAGTCCATTTCATACAACGGGAGTTCTTAGAAATAATTTATTATAATACCAAGTTTAGAGTGCAGAATTTAAATAGCGGAAATGAAATAAACATCTAACGATAAGATACAAGGATCCATATGTGCCCACCAGAAGAATTCTCCACACAAAGCCACTCCTCAAGCTACACCTGTAACGGGGGTAAATAAACCCTGAGTACACAATGTACTTGCAAGACTTACTCGACTAGTGGGAATAATTTCCCGACTCCAAAGGATATGATAGGCTTTATGATTTGCTGGGTTTCCTTTTTACGGAAAGCATTACTAATAGTGAATCCTTATGTTTGTATTTTATTAGCGGTCATGATTAGTTCATTAGCTAACCATTCTATGTAAGCACCTGTTCTACTTTCAAGCATGAATTGAGCAATCAGATCCATTCATCTTCTAGTTCTTACTATGGTGTTAGACCATAGTAAAGACGTACCGCATCACGCGGTGATTTGTGAACCAATATATCTCAGCAGGGTACCTCGAAACACATGCTCCGCTTGTACCCCAGGCACAAGCAAGACCAACCCACCACTCTCCTGTCAAGGGGTTTAGGTTCCCATCCAAACTTGAACTCCAAGCCCCCACACCTGAGTCCCGGACTCAGTGCGGTGCTTAGACCTCCACCCAAGAATCACCCTAAAAGTTGATTCGAAAAGAGCCAGAACCCATGATAAGAGAGCAACGAGCTTTCCCACTCCCATAAGCAAGTATATGCTTAGGATAATAAGTCTGTGACCTGACTACCATCTACAGCAACGGACGGTCCTTAACCGACACGAACAGGGAAACAGTGTAACCAAGGCATGCCCCGTTGACCGCGGGACACAACCTCTTACACCCACCAATACCCATACCTTATCCCTGTCCGGTCTCCATTTTCCTTTAACCATTTTATTATGAGAGCAGTAATAATAATCACCTACTATGAGTAACGACAGGTTACGCTAGCTACCAAAAAACCTAAGCATAGCAGCTACTCGACCTAAGCTAGTAGGACCCATAGGTAGGTATATCTATGTATGTAGTTTCAACAATAAGCCTGTAACGTAAATGCACATCACATATATATATCTAGTGATTATTCAAAATAAACGTTATGCACTGGGGCTTGCCTTGGGCAGGCGGGGTGTCAGCAAAGTCAGCCATCGGTGGCTCCGAGGCTTCCTCCTGTACGAAGACCTCCTCCTCGTACTCCTCAATCACCTCCTCATACTCCTGCTCTCCGGCGGTCACGAACTCCACCAACGCGTTCTCTATATGCATGAAATGATGATGCAACACTTAGTATTTTAGCAACAGTAGTTCTTTAACTAAGAATACATCTACTAAACTACTAAGCTAGCTCTAATGGCTAAGATGCTAACTACCTATCATTTTCACCAAAACAGGTATGGATTCATCTAACAAGTATTAACTCAGCAACTAAAATGTAGTCTTATTCTTATTAGCGATTTAACTTATATTACAATAAGGATCATCTAACTATCCAAGTGCTTAGCCTATTCTAGGGCTGCAAAAATTACAGGG